CACTGTTTGTATTTCTCAATGTGAATACAAAAAATAACTAACTTTTCAATAAATGTTAAAAATCTGTGAGTTATGTTTTATTTGTATTCATTTATATGTACAACTGATTAGCTGAACAAAATACCATTGGTCTGTGTAATTGACTTGGTCATTCTATGAAATTTTACAGGTATGTTTAATATCATATGTGATGAAACCAAAAGACATCTTTATCTCCTAACATTGTGTTGTTTTAAAGGGGTTTCTGGCAACAGCTCTTGAAGTGTATCTCTAGCTAGCAGACATCTGCCTCATCACTGCTTTATTCTGTGCCCTCCTTTACTACAATTGACTTGTCATGTATTTCACAGCTAATTAGGTCTTTACAAATGAGGCCAATGCCCACTGATAAGGATGCTGCTAAATTGACCGTAAATGCTACCATTCAATCAGACACAATGACCAGCCCTGCAGCAATAAACAGGTTTCATTAATGCTCCTGTATTGTGCACAGATGCAGTAGTAAAACATCCACCGCTCTGAAAACAGAAACATTGTGTGGAGTCAAAGGTAAGCATTGATTTACAAAAGCTTCATAAATGTTCATTCGTATGTCACGGGATTTACCTGTATGAATCTGTTAATAATTGAATAGTACCCAGACTGGATGTTACAAATGAATTTTACAAAAGAAAAATAGTTGGTCAATAAATTATATTAAAAATAAAAAAAAAACTTCAATAGAATGTTCAAATCACCTGAGCTTTAATCTAAAATGACTTACAGAATGGGGTGAAAACAACCGTTGTAACAAAGTGTCAGTTATTCATAACAAGTCGCAATTGAATGTGTTTTTTCATACATGTGAGTAATAACGAAAAAGTTTTCAGTTGTTGTTTTTGAACTTTAGATTGTAAAATTGAGATTTACACACACACACACACACACACACACATATATATATGGGTCTGGGCTCAGACAATGTATACAATGCATAAAGTACACAAAAAAAAACAAAAATATTTTCTTGAGAATATGGCTCGCTGCTATTGGTTTTCTAGTGGAGCATCTGAGTGTCCTTCAAAGTCTCTTTGCTTTAATGCTTCCCTCAAAGTCAATTCAAGTGCATATGGGCACCAAGATTACCATTGCGCTCCACAATTTTCAAGGGGGCCATTAACTTTCCTCTCCCTAATCAAGTGGAGGACAGCCGTCTACAGGTCACAGATTGTTTTGTGAATTGTTAGGACAACAGCTGCCTTCCTTTCAGCCCTTCTACCAACTTACTTCAGCCAACAACTGAAATATTGCCAAGAATTTCATCAAAAATCTACCATAAAAGATCCAACTAACCACATCATAATATCACAAAGTATCAAGACCTATATTTCAGAATAAAATCAGACCAAATGCCAATCGTAATCTCATTCTCTGAGCACGGAGGGATTAGTTACTCTTCCTACTCTGTTTTCAAGTGGCAACGACGCATTAACTGATTCTTGTGTTTTCTGTCAGCGCTTTTGTCCTTCATCCGGCCAGTGCTGAAGGACGGTGTGGCCTCGACTCGGCTTGACTCATCTCAAGTCGCTGACACTGCATTTCCTCTGCTGCCAAGCTGAGCTCACACTGCCCTGCAGACACTTGATGAAGAACACCAATCGATGGAGCGAAGAATGATGAAGAAATGAAAGTGGGAGACAGACAAGCTGCAAAAACTACCCTGGCACTCTTGCTGGGACAAAACAAAACACTAATTAGGCAGAAAGAAGGTAAATCACTTCCATTTTTAATAATGAGACTGTGACAAAAGTTAATCCGAAGCGTAAAATTTGGAAATTGAATAGCACTTTTGTGCCGTTATGTTTGATCAAGAAGGGTTATCCTTTAACTGGTCCAATAAAGTTGAAGGGGTCATTTATTTCACTTAAAACTAAGGGCCAAGCCGAGCTCCTGAAAAAAAACAAACACCATTGTAAAGCCCTTCCTAATAGCTCCCTCGTTCTGATAATAACACTTACAAGTGACAAAGGAATATTTAAAAGCGTGCAATATTCAGGACTCGATTCTATCAGAAGAATTCTATCACAGTACCACACTGGAGTTCACTTGGTACCTGAAAGTAGCCCATTTTTTATATATAATTATATATTTTATACTATATGATATACTTGCAACCCATTTCACATCATAGCAAGTGTTGATATTGAAGTGCGATTTGATATGAATCACAATATCTATCTAAAAAAATTCATGTCCTGCGGAGTGGTGTAGTGGGTAGCACGTAGGACACATAGGCGCGTTTGCGCAGGGCTGACGCTGGTTTGAAGCCTGAGTTGTCTTTCAGATCCAGCCCCATTCTCCCTCCTCCTAATTTCCTGTCACTCTCCACCATCCTTTCCATTCCAAAAAAAGTCAATAAAGGCTACAGCCCAAAAAAAATCTTTAAAAAAAAATTTATAATATAAAAGTGAAATGAAAACTCTTTTAGAAACCTAGTTAACTTAAACTGAATGTTTAAGTTTATCCGTAGCCGTAAAGCTATATTTGATGTACATTATATTAAATCGTCCAGGCTGTAGGGGGCAGTAATAACGTTTTAAACTAAAAGAATGAAACATTAAAGAGCTTAACCTGTTTTGCAATATATTGTGCCATGATATATTTTTCAACCACCAAAAGAAATGTGATTATTCTATAAAATTAGGAACTAATTATGCGCAATAATGTTTTTGTCAGGGATTCGGTCCCCATAACAGCAACAGCCAGTATTCAAGACCACTTCCAAGAATCCACCTGGAGACAATCACGCTTCTGTAATCAATCTCCTTCTGGTAAACGGCTCATCCATACACCTCCCCAGTTGTCAGAGCTACGGTTCACTCACCCTGATTCTCTGTGATAGCCCCAAGTGTTCTCGGATCCCTGCATCTACTCTATGTCTCTTCTGGGTTCAAATATCTCTCCATCAGCTCCACCAAATTACTCTCTTCCAACTATTCCCTTCTACTCACCTCTACTCCATTTGTCATTTTTGTGATCATCATGGTCTGGCATCTCCCTGCTGTTGGCTCCACGAGTTACAATGCTGAATTCCGTTTGCTTTAAGGGACGTTATTATTCTGTATATACCTTGTATTGTCTGTAAATTAACTCTTATAATAAGTTAATTATATATGCTTTTATAATATAATATATAATTGACTTTTTTTAATCTAAGCTGTGTTTTCTGCCTGCTAATGTCCATTACATAATTTTAGCATCGCCTTATTAGTGTATTTTCGTTTTTGCTAGAAAATATATGTGGAATAAGATACAAATTGTTTTAAATGACAACTTTGGCACACTCTTTAAAGCTCAAAATGAGTTTTCCTCAAGATAAATGATCTGATTCAACCCATTATGATTATCTTAAAACAACCAAAAACACAATAGACTTTGTCATGCATCACAATTCAGCCATCAATCATTAAATACTGCATTTGCTTAATGGAGGATAATCGGATCATATCCATCTCAATTACTGCAGTAAATATGACATTTTAATGTTTGCTGTGATGCTAGGATTTCTGGATTATTTGAGTGCTGCTACAATTCATAAAACAAGACTCTTCATTCTGATGCACCACGTCGACAGTCATTACTGTGATTATCTCATGATACATTTGCGAAATGACTGATGAACGAAAAGAGGTTTTTTTTTAGCATTTTGGCCCTTTACCAGGAATTATCTGGAATATTTGTCTTCGTTTTGTAGCATTTGTTAATAATCTATCCAAGGCAAAATGAGATCTGAAGCTGAATGCCAGTAACTGAAATAAAATGCAAAATAAAGCCTAAGCAACAATCTATTACATAGACATTTATGATGTAGTGATGCGAAAGTTAGTCACTTTAGGCAAATGGAGGAATGCCATGTGTGATAAAACCCGGATTTAAATAATTAATTTGCACGGTTTGCACACTCTATGAAAAATATTAGTTTTAAGGCATACAGCAGTTTTCGGGAAGTGAAATGTAGCTGCAGATAATCTGCATTTAAATCCCACAATGAACATTTTTATCAACACCTGGTGCATTGCGTATTTAAGACAAGCAGTTAAATGTCATAACGCACTAATACACATGGTCAAAAGATGGGCCAAAATGACCCTCCAACAGTGATACCTCTATTTCCTGCACAATTGATTTATTTCAGATTATTAATGAACTTTGCTGCAGCTCCACTTGTCAGGGCGGCTGTGCAGAGGTCAATAACCGGAGGAAACTTGATGTTAGTAGATCCAGCTTAAGTGATTTTGTCGCGCTAATGATTCAATATATCAGGACAAATGTCAGGTGCTTTTAATATGTTGATTCACTGCTTCTAATCTGCATAAGCGCAGTGCTCGAATAGATCCAGGACCCTGCCAAGTTGGAAAATTTATACTGGCCAGCTGAAATTCCACCTGCTTTCAGTAAATATTTGAGCTAGAAGTTAGAGCAAGGCAAACAGCTGGAGATTTTTACTATAGTTTTTTTTGTTGCAACTATTAGATGAGAAATGATGAGATCAGTAATGTAATCATTTTCCAAATAAAAAATGTAATCTAGATACACAATAAATTGGCCCTGTTTGCAAATGTGTATTTAACACATGTGCAAATGTGTATTTATTAATGTAATAAATACAAATGTGTATTTAAATGTGTATTTAAATTGGCCTTATTTATATCTACAAATAGGCATTAAAAATCCCTCAAAAATAAATGTACTACTAAGCAAAGTGTACTATGTACTATTCTTATCAAAGATTTAGGCTTTAATATTTAAAATATTGATAAAATTCACATAAAACACTGAAAAAGAGCATTTATTTCTTGTCTCATGTTAAATTTCACCATAAATATGATCGTTTAAAAAGAATCTTTCGTTTGCATTGGTGTGTAAATTTAAAAATAATGTTTGTTTCAAATACATTTATTTCCACAGTTTCTATACTTTCTTGGACTAAAAAAAAAAACATTTTAGTCATGACTAACTTAGCTATCCTGTGGCTCAATAGGTAGAGCGTTTGCTAACAATGCAAAGGTTGTGGGTTCAAATACCAGGCAAAGCAGGAACTGACAAAAAAAGTGTTCATTCCTTCAAATGTAAGTCGCTTTGAATACATGAAAATAAAGCCTAGCTTTTTACTCATTCCTGTTACCCATCCCCCTCCTGAAAAACTGGGGAATTTCAATCAGTCAGTTTTTCAGCAGTAAGGTGCACCACTTGAATCTTTAGTAGGCCATGAGAAGAGCAAAGGTAAGTTTTCTCAATTTCATTATTATATCTTTGAGCGTCACTTAAAAAATACTATCCTGTTACTCAAATGATTTAATTAGTTTAGCGTAAAAAAGCGGTATTTGCTAATTCTTTGCTAAACACTCAGTCCTGTTATCTAGGTTAACAAGAAAAAAAGGCACCCATCTTTTGATTGAAAATCTAAAAAAACTTTTGAATAAGTTACTTAAGATGGACCAATAACCATTTGGAATGATTCAGTATGTCTGCTATTGGAATCTGTTTTGAAATCCAGTAAAAAAATAAATTGTGAAAAGTTACAACAAGCAAATGGCACCCATTTGGTGGAATGGCTCAAATATACATTATAAACAACAAATGTAAAGATTGAAATGTGAAATTAGATAAGAATAGACGTTTGTGAGGTAGCCGTGCTAACACGGTGACTAAACTGCTGGCTGGAGTTTTCTGGCTGACTGGAGAAATCAGTGCGATGGATTGGCAAGCAGAGATTTAGTTGCATGTGGCAGAGGTCAGTGTATTGTGTATTCTGTGCAGTCAATAATAAAGTAAGGACTTATGCCTGCTGAAAGTTAATGAGCAATCACAAGGACCTTAGAAAGTCATTTGCATCCTTATATTGGCTGCACACTTTGGCTCTGAAAGGTCCCGGGAGATCCAGAGTCATCGAAAAACCACAGCAGGCGTAAGAGAGATGAGAAAGAACTGCAGCAGTTCGGTTGATCCGAAAAGCATCACAATTAATCAGTTTTATCCTCACAAGAAAACGTAAAAAATTGCTCTTCGTTCATACTCAAATCATACAGAGGAAGTAGGAGTTTAGATGAATCAAAGACATGTGTTGAAAGACGTGAACGTAAGTAAATTGAGACAGAAATTTCAGTTTGGCCCCAAGAGCGACATAAAAGCATGTTTCAATTGCTTACAGACACCGACAGTCATGCGTGTGGTGAAATCTGGATTACCATTGTGTTCTGGGTGTTTGTTGCTGCACCGGGTCATGTGGAACAATCGCTGGGGTTAGCGCAGGGTGGGCAGTCAATTGGAATATTCAGCATGCCCTTGAAGTCAACAGCCATCACTGTGCACGCATGAAGGATTCACTTTATCAAAGGGTGCCACCCTGCCATACTACACTGGTCGTGTAATCAACCTTGCGCTTTCTAGTCACAGCGTAATCTGGAATTGTATAGAATACAAGGAAGTGATGAAAAATAACCAGAAATACTCGGCAAGAGGTTTGGTGCAGGCATTGTTTAGTGAAAACTGAAGTAATCATCAATGAATCACTGCATGGCTCTAAGCGTCTGTAGGACTTTTGGTAGTTATTTAATTAGAGAGTTGGAAAGAAATAATCATGTTTAAATGTGTTTAATAGAGCCTTGTGAAATGGAGGATCACGTTAGTTACATATTCAGACTTTTCCTGTGTTTTATTCTTGTAAACAAAAGAAAAAACCAAATCAATATTTGGTTTTACCAACATTTGCCTTCAAAACTTGCACAAAGATGAACTTGCACAAGGTCAAGGATTTTGTAGGATTGTATTCAGGTGCTAATAACCATGATTGTTGAAACCCAGTCGTGAACTGAAACAAAAACAACTGTGAAGGAGGCTTTAAACTTGGTGATGAGGGCTTGAGAGAAACAGTTCCCCCCCCCTGTCTCGTACATCTGTATTATATAATTGTTGCTTCTTTCTTAGCTTCTCCCCTATGATGATCTGTGTAGCTCCTCCCATTTAATCACTCAGAAGCTTCTCCCAACTGGATGAACCCTCGGTACTTCACAAGTGACCCCTCCCAATTTCTCATTGTTTAACAGAAGAAGTCCAAATAAACTTAAATGTCAATCTAGAGACAAGACACATATGAAAGTTGCTCACACTGATGTCCATCGGGACCTCTTGTTGTCATCAGCACTTCATATTGCAGCAGTTCCTATTATTATATAAGATAAAAGGGACTTTAAGCAGCAATGGCTGAAATATATGTTGTTTTTTGTCAATATATTTTTCGGTCAGAGCCATTTTGTCAGCAATTGGTCAGATATAATTTATGGATATGACTATATACAGAGACGTGAACTTGTGCATGATCAGGGTTTGTATGTTCCCAAATAACTATCCTGGTAACACTTTTATTAACAAACAAGTTTGGATTGAAGCAAACATTACATGAATTTTTAAAAAGCAGTCAAAATTAAAAATGTAAAAAATATTTAGTGTCATGCATTTAATGATATTTGTATTTGAACATGCTTTTATACAAGTAGAAGAGACAAACAAATCTTGTTACTAGGCTCAGTGCTATTTTTCGAGAATAGTAATGGATTTTCATGGCAAGAAACAGATTGTTTCCCGGCATACATCCTACAAGCCTTATTCTAATGTGCCAAGGCCATGGCACTTCCAGCTTTGTTACAGTCAATCGAGGGGCCTTCCACCCCTCCTATTTTTAATATATCTGTATAGAGAGAGTAGATCTTACTCTGTTCTGACAAGAGACAAATGTTTCATTGAAATGTGGCATACGCATATTGTGCAGGAAGTAATGAATTCCTGTGCTCTGGCGGGCCCAGTTCACCGTGTCAAGCCTGTGCAAGGTGGAAGCTGGCTGCAACAGCAAAATTAAATGTAATGTTCAAGCCGCCACCAGAAAGGTGCATAAATCAAAGCTTTTGATTTGCATGGACTGGCGTGAACATCCCCATTCCATGCAAAAATAAACCAATCCTTAAACATGATGTCAGCCCAAGAACAAAGCAATCTGAGGAATTCTAATAAAAGTGTGCAATATGGGAGAAGAGTTTTAATTTTCTCTGGTGTTACGCTGCTCTGAAGTCAACTGTGTTATTAAAAAAAGCAGCTATTCTTTTGAAAACAACTCAAAAGTTTGATGTTTTATAGGTTTTTTTTTTTGCAGATTCAGTGTTCATTGAACTGATTATATTATGAATATTTGACCTATTTCTACCACGATGAATGCAATCTTTTTATAATATGACTGGGTTTACCTTAAAGAATTATTTCAAAGAGAGATAATAAATAATACTGGCTTGCTTTAAAAGACCAATACTTTATAAGACAGTCGTTATAATGAAAGTAAATCGGGTAAAAATTAAAATCTGGTTGAAAAAAGAAAAAAGGTTGCTATAAAGCTTTTAAAAAAATCCAGGGCACAATAATTTTTCATTTTGAAAATTGTTTAAGTTTTTCTTTTTTTTTCTCAAAAATCAGTGACATTTAAGATTTTGGCAGCAATTAAAGGGCAAAAATCCTGGATTTTTTTTTTATTTAGTAGTTTTCATTAGAGCTGAGGAAGATAAAGAGATGTATGCAATAAAAAAATAACTAATGTTGATCTGATTTTAACAGCAGTTTAATTTAGTAGCTATTTATAGTCACAAATATAATTAAAGGGCAGTTCATTTGTGCATTATTTACATATTTATAAAAATAAAATTTGTCACCAAAAGTAATCGTAATCTTTCAAATTACGTTACTTAATTACAATGCTTAGTTTGAACTACAGCAGATTATTGTCTACATGCCTAACTGCATTGAGTTGTTGTCGTAATTTGCTGGTTAGAAATTTACATTAAGCCATTTGACTGGTGTCCCTAATAAAATGGCCGGTGAGTGTAGCTTCACACTAAGTCAGGATTAAATTAGTCTCAAACACTTTAAACTGAACGGAAAACCAGTGTATCCTGGAAATAGAAAAGGTTCCAGGATACTTAAATGAAATGGAGCCACTCTTAATCTTCTTTTTTATACTTTTCCTCAGTAAAAAATACATAGGCATGTGGAGGGGGAATATTGCACTGCCCTCCCAAAGAATTATGAGATTACCGTCCACTCCAAAGCGCACTTGCAGCAGCCCTGGATAAAGAAGTTCAGGTGTACAGACTCACCCTTATAGTTAAAGAGATTATCAACAATGAAAATAATCTCGGAAAAGTTACTCTGTGCTATAGCCACGATGAAAAGTATTGCCGTGTTTTGAACAAATTCCCAGAAAAGGCTTTTTATTGTATAAGTGGGCAGGAGCCAAACGTCCTGTACTGGTGGCCATCCTCTTAGCCCCCTGATCCCAGCCAGCGTCAATCCGATCTGCAAACTCAATAAAACCGATAGCAAGGATGATTGGCTTTTACATTAAAAGCCATATATTCTGATGAATTTGTCTTTTTCTTATAGTTGACGTACGCTTGCCATGATGGAATAAAGGCTCTGAGAGCATCAAGACATAAAAAGATGGTACAATATCAAAAAGAGTGAAAAGTAGCCTGAAAAATGAGTCATGCACAGAGCAATGCTTCAAATCAATGTCAGATGAGAAAAAAAGAGGAAAGAAACAAAACTCAATGGAAAATAAGATTTAAGAACCTGTCTTGTCAATTTAAAGCCACACAGATGCCTCTTGCTCAATTAATAGCGAGCTTAAATTGGCGATGTATCGAAGCAAATTAATGCTGCTGCTTTATTGTTCAGAAGTGAACTGCAGTACTGAATTATTTGATGAAAAATGCTGAATTAGAAAAAAGCTTTGTGTGTAATGAAACCACAATCCCATCTGTGTGAACGGTAACGATGCAAAACTGTAATGGCCTTATGTCCAAACATTGAATGCCACCGTGGAGTGACAGAGCTCTTTAACGACTTTAGAAAATGCCTCACTGTGGTAAATGTACTAACTGGTTTACTGTGCTGATTTAAACATGGTTTGAGGCCTCTACACTGCAGTGAATTGATTTTAGCGTTCCCTCACTGAACAGGTTATTTCTACAATATGTGCAAAGGCATGTCACC